CCGATGGGTTTAAGCGACTTGTTCTTCTTCTCATCATCCATTTCTACATCTGCAAAAAAACAATTGTAACCAAATCAGAAGCAAGATTAACTCAAACATCGTTTCCAAGGACCAGAGCAAACAGCAAAAACGTATGATAGTATCCAAAACAGAACATAGCCATATTACTGACATTAGAGGTAGGATCAATCCAAAGGACTAAGGCACACAGAGAAATTACATAGCTTGAACGAAACTAGTATACTAGTATCATGAAACTAGGAACATACTTTTAGAATGATACAAAATTGATTAGATTTCCTCAAAAGAATAAATGTGTTCTTGTCACACTCACACAAACTTAAACAAATCTTTCAATGCACTCAATTACAATCTTGTATTGAACTTAAACCTTCAAAGATTTCAACTACAATGAGTGATTCTGATGAATCTCAAATGCTAATCAAAAATCGTTTCGTCAAGCGTTACCTTATCTAAAAGGCAAATTTTTGACAAAACCCAACACGTAAAATGGCAGAACAAGCAACGATACTCTCAATCTATACAAATCAAGTTTCCATGGAGAAATTGCGAACATACCCATATCGTTGGCGACAGTACCGGAGGCAGAGACAGATTCAGAGGTCGAGGTCGCAACTTCCATGAACGGAGAAACTGGTGGTTGACGAACTGGTAACTTGGGAGCAGCGAGTGCAGCTGCTATAGCGGCGGATTTGGCGTCTTCTCTAGTTAGAGTGAATGATTCTTTCTCCACTATTTCTCTTCTTATAGCTCTTAATCTCTTCACTCTCTTGCATCTCATCGATTTCGCCATTGTTGCCGCTCGTAATCAAAGCTCCCAAAAATTAGGGCTTCGACGAATAAAGGGGCTTTTGATTTTTCGGCGTCGGATTTGTTTTATATCGCTATAAAACCTAATTGAGTGAAATTGCTCGAGTTCTGTTTGGTTACCAGAATAACTGTATCTTATCCGAGGTTAAGGCCCATTAACAACATTATTGATCCACTAATTTGTTCTATTTAACGGCCCAATACTTATATTTATAGGCGAAATCCCGGAAATACCCTTCTTCGTGTGTAGATCACACGGTGGTCGATTTTCTCAGGAGAATCCATTGTTTCGATTGAGAAGAAAACTCAAACTTTCTCTTTGAAGCTTTGAAATCTCTGCTCAATCTTCTTCGGGTTAGTTTCTTTTTTTTTTTTGTGTGTGGATCATTTTCTTCGTTATGTGATCAGATCTATGTTCTTTTTGTTTTCTTCTGGTTAGATTTTGAGTTATTTCGCATGGATTTGGTTCGGATTCTTTGTTTTGTTGAACTTGGAAGCTTTTGAATTATAGATCTATAGTGGGTGTGTTCATGGTTGTGCATTCTCGTGAATGAGATCGAGCAGTAATGGAAGTTATTTGGAATTGTGATTATGACTAAAGAGAATCGATGTTAGGATCTGGTGATGCATCTGGTTACTGATTTGGTTTTACAAAAATCGAAATTGAAGTTAGAAAAAATCTAAGAAGCAAATGTCTTTCTATGAAGAAAAATGTTAATACTGTTTGATTTCAGAAGTTAAAGACTTTAAAAGTAGGTGATGTATTGATTATGGTTGTTTTGGTTTGATGGCAGAGATGTACAATAACATGGGACCTCAACCGGGTATGCCGAGACCACCGGGTAACCCCGACCCTGGTCCGTTTGGGAATCCATTCACTGGAGCTGGCTCTGGTTTTATCCGTGGTGGTTTGGGTGCGTACGGTGAGAGGATTTTGGGATCGAGCTCTGAGTATGTGCAGAGCAATGTAAGTGAATTCTTGGTGACTCTATTTCATCAATTTTGACGTTGTTGTTTTTAACTCATTGTGGACAAATGAAACAGATAAGCCGGTACTTCTCTGATCCTCAATACTATTTCCAAGTGAATGATCAATATGTGAGGAACAAATTGAAGGTTGTTCTGTTTCCTTTCCTACACCGGGTAAGTTAGTCTTCTTGTGCGTTGTTCTATTTTTGACTTTCTTATATCGGCCTTTAGTTAAACTAGTGGGGCTTCTGCTGCAAACCTGTAGGGACACTGGACCAGAATATCGGAACCAGTTGGGGGTAGGCTCTCATACAAGCCTCCAATCTATGATATCAATGCGCCAGACTTATACATTCCGTTCATGGCATTTGGTACATATGTTGTTCTTGCTGGCCTTTCATTGGGACTTAATGGAAAGTAAGTTTTACGCTTAG